GGGAGAGAGAGAGAGAGAGAGAGAGAGATGTTGAGTGGTTGTAAACGTCCTTTTCCGCACTGTATAACATGCATGTATTTTGTATGTGACGTAAAAGGTAAAGCCTCCACACAAGCGGTGTATGGTGGATGCTTGGGAGATTCTTGATATGGCGGTTTGGGGATGGCGTGGAGGGGGTGGAGGGGGGAGTGTCTTTTGTTTGGGTTTTTTTGTTTGTTTTTTGTTTGTTTGTTGTTGTTGCTTTTGGGGGTTGTTTTTTGTTGCTGTTTGTTGTTTTTTTCGTTGTTGTTTTTTTGGGGGGGGTGTTTTTGTTTGTTTTGTTTGTTTGTTTGTTTTTGGGGGGTTAAAGCCCCAACGTTTTCTTTGTTATTTGCCCTGCTTTAAGCATAATTTGTTCGTTCATTACATTCACAGTGTTTGTAGTAACAAATGTTGATATATTTAGCTGCGTACTGTACCTGCCTGTCGTTCGTTTTGTTTTGTTTTTTTAGAATTGATGGGATTGGTTTCTTTTTGTTTGTACTTTCTAGCTCATCGTTACTAAATATTTGTTCTTTTTCGTCCTATCTTCCAGGCTGAAAGCGAGGATGAGATGCTGAGATCCTGTTCCATACAGACGGAACCTTCGCTCTTCACCTGCACTCAGAATCAGGAAGGTAAGGATATCGTGAGATTTCTATGTATACATATTATGTGCCTGTATTTACCTGTATGTATGTGTACGTATGTATGTCTGTGTATTTGTGAGTGTGTATTTATGTTTGTGTTTTATTTTTGTACTTGAATAAACATGTTTACCTTAGCGAGTGTATTCACGTGTGGTTTAGGGTGCATGAACGCGGCTATGAGTGAGTGCAAGTTTGTGTTTGTGTGTGTATGTGTGTGTGTGTGTGTGTGTGTGTGTATGTATGTGTGTGTGTGCCTGTATGTGTGTGCGTGCGTTCGCTCTCGTGTTTGTGTCAAAGAGAAAAAGAGAGAAACTATGTGTGTGTGTTAGCAAGTGTGTATTTGTGTTTGTGTGTCACACTGTGTGCGCGCGCGCGCGCGCGTGTGTGTGTGTGTGTGTGTGTGTGTGTGTGTGTGTGTATGTGCGTGTGTGTGTTTGTGTTTGTGTGAGCGCTCACGCATGTTGCCTTGTGCACACGCGAGAATGCTTGCGCGTGTGTATGCGGGCTGGTCTGGGCACATGCCTGTGTGTGTGTGTGTGTGTGTGTGTGTGTGTGTGTGTGTCTGTGTGTGTGCATAATAACTTGAAGGAAGTCGTAGTGTAGGATGGATGTGTAAATAGTTATGTATTAGTTTGATTGCATGTGTGCGTGTGTGTGTGTGTGTGTGTTGTAGCAGTGATTTGTTATTGATGACGATGTGATTGGAATACTAATAGTGATGTGATATCGATTGTGTTGTGTCGGTGACATAATATGACTTTTAGAGCACAGTTTGGAGTATCATTGAGTTCCTTTCAGAATACGGATTATGTATCTAGCTGAACACTAGCTGTTAACGATCATTCTTCGCTTATGTCGTGCATGTGACTGCTAGTCTCTTATTGAGTTTGTTTTAGGTAAGTAGTTTACGGCGCTCGCTGTTTGTGAGTGCAAGTGTACAATTATATCATTATGTTTATGTGTAGAGGAGAGGATGTGTGACAGTGTGTTTGTGTGTGTGTGTGTGTGTGTGTGTGTGCTGTCGTGTGTCCCTTCCTCCGTGTGGTCAGTCGTGATATGGATATTGGTAGGGTAAGTTGATATTTTCTTGCTCCGGTGGGATGTGTTGCGTTGTGATTGATGTCCAGTGATTGTTATTTGTTATTGATGACGATGTGAATGGAATACTAATAGTGATGTGATATCGATTGTGATGTGTCGGGGACATAATATGACTTTTAGAGCTCAGTTCGGAGTATCATTGAGTTCCTATCTAGTTAACGGCGCTCGCTGTTTGTGAGTGCAAGTGTACAATTATATCATTATGTTTATGTGTGGAGGAGAGGATATGTGACAGTGTGTGTGTGTTTGTTTGTGTGCGTGTGTGTCTGTGTGTTTGTATG